AAAAGATGGCTTTTTTATCCACAGACATATCCTGTACGAGAAGATTAGATGGGAAACTGCGCATATGAATCGAGAGAAAAGTACAAGCATTTGCTGCGGTCTCAAACATAAATATGCTCACTATACTGCTTTCGCAATGCGGACAAATGTATCTTTTCAAATAATAAATTGGGAATCCGAAAACCAAAGTCAAAGTTTGTTTGTCTCTCATTCCTCCTATCCCAACACATTCTCTGCTTTCGAAACTGGCGAGCGTTTGATCTTAGTAAACAAGTTCTTTTAACTACCTTTTACGAAGATTCGGGGAGCTTTGTCGCGCATGTTCTTACCATTAAGGCCAGTGTTATCGGGTTCGATAAAGGTCTTCTGAACCTTCCCGTCTTCGATCACTAAAACATAGCGCTTGCTCCTGTGGTTGCCGAAAATTGAGCTCGCATCAAAGTCTAGATCCAGAGCCTTGGTAAACTCTCCATTTGCATCTCCCAGGAATCGGATCTACAATGTTTTAGTAAATTTTGTCTATAGCAAAGAACATTATGCAGCTAGCACGTTGCATAACTTATAAGAGATGTGGAAAATACTACATACCCCGCTCTTCTGCTCTGGGTCAATCACCTTAGACCACGCGCCAGTCCTATTCAATGTAGCCGCGAAGCTGTCAATTATCCATGGAGTTGCTTACCAACAGAAAGTTTGAGCGGGTAGTAAACTGGGGAGAGATCGTCTCCTCTCCTTTTCATGTTGAGGTGCACGGGAATGAAATGGCTTGCTTACACAAATGCATCATTGACAGACACCACGAATACTTTGCCGGCACCCGTCAGCTTCGGATGGTTGGCGAAGCCGGGAACATATGCGGCGGAACATGCGGGGCCTTTTCGATATATTTATTAGACAAAAGCTAGTTGAGAGTAAAATATAAAAGACCAGTAACAAAGGGATTATCACTGTTTCCGTATTCAATCAATAGAAAGACTAAACATCGGTTTCCATCCAGGTCGGGTGCAATTGATCCGTATAATCCGCTGGAGAGATGACACCTGAAACAAATCAAAAAAGCAGCCGGGGAAAATATGCTTACTAAATGCACCTGGACTTCCGATGATCAAACCTTTCCCTTCCTTTAACTCCTTTGCCAAATTGACCTTGTTGCCAGGTGAGTTCTCGGTTAGCACCTCAAGGTCTGGCAATCTATCTCCAACCTTGACGAAGGAAGGCCTTGTGCTGTGGAATAGCGCCGCACGGCGACTATCGCGGATAATTGCAGTGGCAGCGGAACGCCTGGTTGCGAACATGGTGAATAGCGGAGTGGATAATAGGTATATTAGCTTCTGACTACTGTTAGATATTGACAATGGTAGTTCCTAACCGTGAAATGTTGGGGGCTAGATTAGAGGTTTGTTGATCACAACCATGGGTTTGTGTCGGGACTAACGTCATCTGTGCAACCTCATCCTATTTCAAAATACGAACACACGCCGCAATTCACAGCGACGACACTTTGTACAGTTACAGAAATTTGATGTCTTAATATCTTGAGCAGACTCCATGTTACTGAAACATGTACAAAATACCCCTTCCCACCTTCATGAGGAGAGCTCCCTTTTTTGACTTTGTGATTTATCAATTTGGAATCACCGGGTGACCTGTCTAATTGACCGACTGCTTCACACCCTCTCTTGTGCCAGCCAGCCTTGCGCATTGGGAGAGTGGCTATCCTGCATGACATGAGGGTTGTGATTGTCGATGCATCGATACGGGTAGAGTTGGACGGTCTGATTCCTCATGTCCTGTGCCACTTCGCTTGGTGACTCTGTACAATATGCTGTACATGTCCAGTATCAGTGAAGCCGAGAACGTCAAAGAACACCCTAAGGATACCCAAACGCAAGATACCGCCTCAGCCATAGCCTGGTTGAAAAATGCCAATCCAGATATCAGGGTCTATCAAACTCTATATCGATTGGCAGACCCTAGTCGTGGATTGGTCCGAGCTATTGCGGCAACTGCTTCTGTCTGGACACAGTCTTAATTTTCTCCTCATCGAGACGATCATGCCATGTCTTAACCTATATGATCTCGCGGAAGGGCGCCAATTCTGCAAAGGAAACCAGCAGCACAGATATCAGCGAAATTAGAAAAGCTCTACTAGGTTGGAATTGTACCATTCTCTTTCCAATGCAATCTCCCGAGCAAAACGTGGTGCGGAGTTTTGTATCCTCGTTTCTACCGAGTGCTAAAAAACCTATTTGTTGCGCACATCGTGTTTAGGAACATGGGCTGTATCGAGAGGATTGTTGCAGCAACGACCGTTACACCAACATGACTATGGCCGTGTGGTATCAGGTTGGAGATCCTATCTTATGCGGCCAATCTTAGGGACCTTTCCAGATAAACAAGGCATCAGGGCTCCTATGTTTAAACGGCAACGCCAGTGGCTGAACGATAAGACAAGTAGACCTCACAGATTGGCCGTCCCGTGTTCCTTGCGTCTTTCTGCCATCTCCAAGAAGGCTTAATCGGTTTGGAAATCAATGTCGCTAACGCAATCGCGGAGATCAAGTAAACGATACGCGCCCACATTTTCTTCTCTCCTTCGCCCCCTGTTTTCAGCCTCCATTATCCAATATCCCGCTCATAGTAATTTTTTCTTTATCTCCTTCTCAAACTTTTGGAACGAATTGAATAAACGAAAACAAGAGCAATGAGGAATTAATGGAAGAGATTTTCCGCTCAGTCCTGGAGGGGAAAGAACAAACAATATTTTATAAATCGATATAGAAAATATTCACTCATGACAGGAAATAAATGAGTGGGTTTTTGACCATTTTCTTGCTTTTTCGCCTTGTTTAGTGGCCACACGGACCTACCACCCATGCAAAACCACTTGATTTGATCAACCAGCCACTTTTCCACCCACACCATCCTCGATCGTTCAAAAATTTCCTTATCTCGGCACATGATACTGCAGCACGGTGTAGGGTGCATGGAGCTCTGTGCAGAGATCCAAAACGATCATTATTTCCTTTCGAGGGAATAATGGAGGGTCAAGAGAGAATGATCATTGAGTCGACCACTCTGCTTGTGTTAGATGGTCTGTTTCCTTGAAACTGCTTACCTAGATGTCTACGTTACATGACATCCTGTGCATGCATGAACTATTAATGACATCATTGTGCATGCGGTGGTTTGTACATAAGTTGTACAGACGTTCTGCAGCTGGTATGCTCGTGCTGAAAATTTCGGAAGAATCTGAGTACGTGTATTTCCATGCAAAGCGTCCCCAAGCGTCCCAAGTGCCATGATATAAAATGTGGTGAATGACGCATCATAAGCGCTCCTCAGGGACATACACTCGCTCTCGGCTTCCATTGCATCAATGCAGCGCATAGCCTTGAAAAATAATCCTGCAATTGCATGTACAGATTAATACCATTCTTTACTTCCAGGACCATTCTGTTATCGATCTATTAGGTGCAATTGCAATGTAGTAGTACATGTAAATGTGCATGTACAGGCACTTACCCCTACAGGCGGCTTGCTCTCTTGTATCCACCTTTCAGGATGCAGGTACATACAGATTGCGCTATCTCTGTCTCATTACAACATGAAGATCCACTTTGTTTGGATGATGGTGACCGTGGACTTTTCCATCTCCCATGTTACCGTATGATACCCGCCGCATTTTCATATCGACCATACCTCTCACAAACGCTAGCAGACAGCTTTCTAGCCACTCAAGACATTCAATTTAAGCCGGAATAAAACTCCCCCAAAAACAAGCAAGTAGGGAAAGTGGAGAGGGGATAGACAATATGCGACCCTCCCCATCCGTGCCGTTCCCCTTGATCATGCCGCCCCACCCGCCTCTCTGGGTTATGTACATGTAATCTCTTTCCCCGGAATTTAGTCGTTTGATGTATTTTCATCCAGCTAGGGAGAACCCTAGCTGCTTAACTACTAGTACTTTGGGTGTCAATTCGGATCCAGGAGGAGGGTGAACGGCGCCTCTCCTATGACGCCGAGACATATATTATCAGGTTAGGTCAGGTCCAGGGCCGGTTCATATGTGGCTCCTTGCCTATAAGAGCAGCGAAATAAGATTGGAAGTTATTTCAACGCCTCATCGCAGTCCGTACCTTGTGCGAAGAGGATGGGAGAGGAAAATTAAGTAGGGTACTGTACATACATAGATCAACAGAGCAGGTGAAGTTTTGGTTTTCTTCTTACTTTTTCTATTTCCACCCCCCCCTTTCCTCCCTTCCTCCTCCGCAATCCCCAACAAACCGGCCCCAACGCAGACCTCGGGCCTCTTCATAGTCCCGTAGTTCATGTATGATGTATGTACGTATGCACGGTATGTTGACTTAGTAAACTGTGAACAGCGGGATAAGGAATCCATGAATGATTTAGTATTGGTGTCCGTTATTTTTACTTTTATGGTCCTCATTTTGCTTATATATAATTTTGCATTGAAAAGCCGGGGATGGTTTACGGTATTGTACTGTACTACTCCTGCACACTGTGATGGCGTTCATGTATTTTTATTTTTATTTTTTTATTTTTTTTATTTTATTTTATTATTTTTTTTTCGATTCGTTGTTTTGAACATTCTTTTATTATAATAGTATCACTGTCTCTTTCTCTTGAAAAAAAATTTGATTAATTGATTGATTGTTGGCACCTCTGTTGGTACCTCTACTGGACTGCCCCTGTGTTCTGCTCAGCATTTGACCTCCGCGGTCATATTCACTCCTTTTTGTTTACAGAACACTCAAAGTACATAGGTAGATAACAACAATAACAACAACAGTGTCAAGTTGATTAGTTACCAACATTAATTATTAAACCTGATTCTCCTAGGTGTAGTTACCCTTCTGAAAAACCAGACAACCGCCAGGGGGCGAACGAAGGAGGTCACTCCTCCCACGCAATCTGGCAGGAGGGCAGCGGGTCTTAACAGCATGTGTACAACTCCTCCTCTTTCTAATTGGCCATCGGAGGGAAAAGAAAAATATTGACACCCCTTTTACCGCTGAGGAGAAGCTCAAGCCTGTCTG